GAAGGAGGGAAGGAAGAGAAGGAGGCGAGACATCCTGAAGGGGATTCCCGTAACTGGTAATGTGGTTCCGGAAGAATGGTTAATATTGATAGGAGATGCGAGTTCCTTTTTCCTCTCTTTTTTGCTTAAAAGACTGACGGAATGGATTTGGGGGACGAGAGGGAAAGAAAATGATATGAATTTTTCAGATTTCTTTTTTACCTCCAAGGACGTAAAGAAGGATTGATGAGGTGATACGGGAAAGGAAAAGTTATTTTATAGAAAGCATTAATAAATCTTATGATTATATGTTATATGCATATATATATATATATATATATATATATATATATATATATATATATTATATATATATATATATATATATATAATATATATATATACATATATATATTATATATTATATATATATATATATATATATATATATATATATATAGGGAAGAAAAAAATGCACAACTAGATTTAATGAGGAAAGTGAGACAACAGTTTCGTAATCGTCTCGATTCCATATATATATATATATATATATATATATATATATATATATATATATATATATATACATATACATATATATGTACATATATATATATATATATATATATATATATATATATATATATATATATATATGAGTGTGTGTGTGTGTATGTGTGTGTGCATGTATATACACACACGTATGTATTTATATATGAATATATGAATGTGTATGAATGCAACACACACACACACACACACACACACACACACACACACACACACACACACACCACACACACACACACACACACACACACACACGCACGCACATACACACATACATGTGCATATACATACTATATATATATATTATATATATATATATATATATTATATATATATATATATATATATATGATGGTGATTAGAAAGATGATAGTGATGATAATGATGAGGAGTATTGCAGTAGTGGTGATGCTGCCGACGATGAAGATGATTGCGATGACAGTAATGACGATGATTGTTAGGATAATGATATACTGATGATAGTGGTGGTGATGGTGACTGTGATGATGATTATGATGGTGATGACGATAAGGTGGAGATGAAGGATGATGATGATGATAATTACGATGATGTCATAACTTACTTTCTATGATTAATGTTTCAAAAACGTGCCCTACATCCACTGCCTTTGGGCCTTTCATGATAAGGCTAATAAGTTTTGAGTTAACTCGCTCTCTCTTCAGTTAATTGTTTGCCTAATTGCTTTTATCTCCTCTCGCAGACTGGCTCTCCCGACGCTCAGGCCGAAGGAAATAGGGAAAGGTTGATGTGATGGCTGCGTGTGTGTTGCTTCTGACTGGCTCTTTCCTCAAGCGAAAGAAAAGTGCGACAGAGGCCCTTCGACAGCCCGAGAAACTTGAAACGTAGGAAATGCGCCCTTTGGAGATACATCCTCGTGTTTGGCAGGTACTGATTTCTCCCTGTGGTGAATACCCTAGGAAGTAGGGCACTGGGAACCCGTTGCGCGCCGCCATGGCCGAGCATCTCGATACCCCGGGCACGTCTCTGCCTGGTGGAGTCGCCTTCCAGAGTCCCCAACCTCCTGACGCGGACCAGATTCTCCAGCGGTGCCGGGAGGAGGTCCATTACCTCTACTACACCACGAACGACACCCGTATACTCGCAGACTTCACGCTGTGCGAGGACTGCAACATCACCAATGAGGAACTCGAAATCCTCGAACTGTCGGGCGTGTGCAGACCCTATGACTTCTCATACATGCCCCTTATTTACTACATGTACGCGTCCATATTCGTGATCGCGCTGTTCGGCAATCTGCTGGTGCTGTACACGGTGGTGACGAGTCGCAAGATGCACACCGTCACCAACTTCTTCATCGCCAATCTTGCCGTCGGGGACCTGCTCATCATGGTGTTCTGCGTCCCCTTCTCGGTCGCCTCCATCATCGTCCTGCAATACTGGCCCTTCGGAGAGGGTCTCTGCATCTTCGTCAACTATTGCCAGGTAAGACCGAACAAAGGGATTCCACAAGCGTCTCAAAATCTATCGCTTCTCGGCCTTTTGACTAAGATCAAAGTGTTCTCAAAATATTCGAGTAAAGGTGGGCTTCAAGCGTTGTCTTCTGTACCTCTTTCCTAGTTACGATTTATTTTAGGCGCTATGTCAAGGCTCTGCAATGTGACAAATCCCGCATACAAACACATATGAGGCTACATACTGTATTCCCACCATGCCGTCTATTGCTTCACGCGTAAATCCCTCACTAAACCAAGATCTGATAACGATATTTCGCTTTTATGTCATATTAGAGACCTCACCTGAATCAAGACTGGTAATTTATGGCTCTTCTGCTTATGTATTTAGGTGTGGAAAGGCGGTAGTTAAAGCGTTGGTCTGGTTTCAAATCTTTGATAAAGAGGGAATAAGTACATCTGATGTAACTTCGCGAGGTATACCAGGTCAGGCTGTTATCAAGGAACATTTTTGCTAAGTTCTCTATTCTCTCTCTCTCTCTCTCTCCCTCTCTCTCTCTCTCTCTCCATCTCAGGAATATATTATCAGTCGGTACGGTCCGTTTGAAGATCCGGTTCTGATGTTTTGATTTCTCTTTTATCTGCTTTGCTTTTCGTTTTATTCTTATCACAGTCTTTGGTCATGGAGGAATTTCTCTGAAGTGTCCTCCAGGCCTTACTTTCTTTCTTCATCTTCTCCTCCTCCTCCTTCTTCTTCTCCTTTCTCCCCTTCTCTTTCCACCTGTTTCCTTAAGTTTCACTACAACATTTTTCAAGTCTGGACATGAGGAATTTTCATGTTAAACAATCTCCTTCCTTTGCCCCCAAGTTACCATGTAATTAAATTCAGCAAGCTCCTGTAACCTTTCCTTTGATATGGGGAAATAGAGTGATATTATTCTCTTCAGGACGATTCTCAGCATTTCCGCTTGTAAGAAGTTGTAAGTACTTCCCCACTCTCACTAACAACCCCGATTATCCGTCAGATTAACGATGATTTTGGCTTTTAAAGCAAATGGCCGATGAAAAGCCCTAATCAGATAAGGATATTTGCCATTCCATTCCCCTCCATCTTAAATACAATTTGCATGATAGCTCTTAATGCATTCGCTTTGTAGACAGTCTTCGCTAAATTGGTATAATGCCTTTTAACGTTTGGCAAACGAGTGTCCTCGGATGACGTCTGAATCTATTTCAGTGTCCATAGTCAATTATCATCATAGAAATAAACAATCTTTTTTGCTCTCTTGTTTACGAAGGTCTAACCTGACAGGATGCTTGTATTAAAGCTTCCAAGATTAGAACACAACAATCTGGGTTCACTGGCATTTAAATCATTTCTATAACGTCACCGGAAAAAAATAAGAAATATCAGAGTTAACTTTGGCTTAAAATCAAGGTAAAATCGCGTGTCTTATCAGTCTTTTCCACTGTGTTAACTTCAGCATAGTATTGACCTAAGAGTGTGTTATTAGTAAATGCCTGAATGAATTACGCGGTCCATTTTTTTCTTCTTCTTCTCTTCTTTTTTTCCTGTATGCGTGTGCAAATTCGCCAAATGGATTCCTCAGGTATTTCCCTTGTGATGGCCTAGTTAGGTGAACTTTATAGATGGCAGCACCGGTTTCTGTAGTTTGAAAAGCTTGATTAATTCTACCCCTTCATTATTTCCCTTCCGCGTGACCCTGGCTTTGTGACTTGTTGAGAAATGGCGTCCTTGCGTTTTGGAATTGACTCGGCAGTTCAAACAGACGTCACTCACCGGTTTGGCAGGTGGGTAATTGCATTCCTTAGGCTTAATATTTTTCCTCCAAGAACACTAATAGATATGCTGGTATCACGGGGCGCAGGCAAGGTCTCTCGAATCTCCACCAGTGAAAATGTTAATATCCCCCCCCCCCCACTCGTCCATAATTACTCTATGATTATTCCGATGAGAATGGATGGCAACCGCGGAAACAAATATAGTTGCCGGTTAGTGTTTTCGTTACATTCTGCTTGAGAAAATTCCCTATTAACCATTTACCAAATGATATCGATTATCATATTTATCCAAAACAGATTAAAAAACACCCAATATATTTCTGTTGAACGACTTTGCCTTTTCTAACTCTCTTTCCATCCTTACTAACAAAGAATTATTGTGCGCCTAATCACACGAAAGAAAATAACGGGCAACTCGCTCCGGATCCAGAAGGATTCCGATTCACCGAGCATATTTTGAGGAAAAAAAAATAAAAATAAATGGGTGGTGAAAGCGGCAAATAAAAAAAATAAAAAATAAAAAAAACAAGCAACATGTATACTAGCTTCAAAGATACAAAATGTATGCGAGGCTAGCATTTAAAAAAAGAAACAATTTAGATTTTTCCAGGATTTAGTTGCCAATTTCTGTTTTTTTTTTTTTTTTTTTTTTTTTTTTAGCTTGTTTTTTTGTTTTTTTTTTTTTTTTTTGTGTGATGTCGATGTGATGCTGCTGTTATGTTGTTTGAGGGTGTCCGAGTGATGGGAGGGTGAGAGTGTGTATGTGTATGGGTGTCTTAGTGATGGGAGGTTACTTGTGTGTGGTGTGTGTGTCTACATGTGTCTCTATGTAGGCGTGTGATTTCAGGAAAGGCCCAAAAGAGACCCAAAGCAATGGGAAAGAAAAGTTAAAGGAGAGAGATAAGTTCGAGTTTGTTTATAGAATTTCCCAAAGTGGACGGAATGTAAGGAATTGGGAGAGATAAGACAGGAAGATTGTTCCAGAGCTCGGGAATGCGGAGAGTAAAAAAAAAAAAAAAAAAAAAAAGAGAAAAAAGATGTAAGACAGAGTTTAGAAAGGATAATAATTCTGGGATCTAATTCTTGTTCTCCTCGTGACACCAGATATAGTTTCGGTGATTTCGTGAGACATTCAATAAACAAGGCGATGAAACATAAGCAGATAACAAAGCAGTTCATTCTGTTTATTCCTCTGATTGTTTGTTGACGATTTTG